TCCTACCTTTGCTTAATTTTTTAAAAACTAGGTATCATAAATTAAAAAAAGAGATTTTTCACGATAGTCAAAATAAATGGCTCCGACTGTTTCTCTTCCATTATTCATTATAAATTAACATGAGTTTATAATCATAGTAATTGAAGAGATATAAGATGCACCTCCATATGTTCCACTATTATTTTTAAAGTAACTATATTCAAGTTTTACATTCACAATTTTAGTTTCATAATAAGTTTAAATTTAATTTAATAATCTATTTGATTTGACTTCTGAATATTATTTTAAATTAGTTATTTCTTTTGAAGATAAGACCAAACAACTCCAAAGGCCACATAGATTATCTTCCATTTTTATTGAATGTAGATTGATCAAATTTTAATTGTTTTATTATTCTATATTTATAAATTTTAATATTCCTTCTTTGCAGTTAGAGCATATAATATTCTAAAAAATTAGATATTCTATTTAAATTTAATGTTTTGATGAAATAGAATCAACTTAAAAAATAAACCCAGGATTTGTTCTTTTTGTTATTAAGGTATAAAAATTGTATAGACTAATAATATATTGATTCTACTAATCATAGAACACTTGTAGCTATTCTGGCTAAGAATATATTTTCAAGCATTTATAAAAGGATGAAGAAATAGAAGGATATGTTTCAATTGGTTTTGAGACGTCTCCAATTATTTCTTTGATTGATATTAACTAAACATTAGCTATATACACATTAGTCATATATTCTAAAAATATATAATTATATACTGTTATTAAGTTTAATATTAAGTGTGCTTCCACTAATCAATGTTAAATTTTATATTTCTATATTTTTAAGTGTGATTGATTCTGCATTCATTATTTCCATAACTCCATAATCAAATAAATCAACAAAGTTGCAATTTCTTACAGTAATATTATTACCTCTTTCTATAGAAATTAAATCATTTTTATTTTATAATTTAACTTATGATTCACTTAATTCATTAATTCTACCTAAATATGATAAAAACCTTGATAAGTATTTTAAATTAGCAAATCAGAAATTTCAACATTCAAAATTAAAGAGTTACTTGTAAATATTATAGGAAGTTTAAAGAAAGCAGTTTTCAATGAATAAACATTTTAAATTACACTTCTTTAAATTATTATTCTATTTTTATTTCTAGAAGGCTCTAAAAAAGTGTTCCTCCATCTTATCTACTAGAACTTTAGGAAAAAAGATTGTCAGATATTAATAAATTTAAATCTGATTGAGAAGCATCAATAAATAATGTTCCACCTTGTGATTTCTCAGTTATTAATAAATTTGTTTGGCTGAAGTTGAAATTACAATTCGAAACTTCAATTATCCCATTTGATTAAGTACTAAAATAAAATGATCCTCCTTATTAAGCAAATGAATTCTAACTTGAAACATTTCTTACAATTATTTAATTTGCTTAACAAAACGCATTTCCCCCCTTTGATTTAATAGGAAAAATTGAATGCAAATTCTCAATAAAAATTATTTCATTTTATTAATATCCCCAAATTAAACGATCTTTTAAATATTAATATTATAAATCATTTTAAGAATTAAAATAACAATCCTCCATCTAGAAATTTCCACATTTAAATACAAGATTAGATCCTTAATTATTAGTGATAATATTATTTTCAAATATAGATTTAATTAATATAATTTTAGAATTAGGACTATTTATATAAATAGTTGATGATTACTTGAATAGTTAATCTTCTTAATAAGTATGATGATGATTATTAAAGGTATAAATATCTTACAAATCAATTTATTATTATTATTCAGATATTATGCTAATAACACAAGGTTGTTCAGACAATTTAGTAAGAATAATTGTATTGTTTGTCAAATTAAGGTATTTCATTTCTATTTTCTCTGATT